TTGCGCGCTCCTCGGCCAGCTCCTCATGCATCGCCAGCTTGCTCTGGTGGCAGCCCATCTTTGCTCGTTTGCTGTGCTGACGGTTGCAGACACAGTGGGGTGTGGCGGTGTGAGGGTGAAGTGAGGCGTGAAGTAAAATGAACGCACGCTGTGTCTGCTGTGTCTGTTTGTTGGCTGTGAGGGCGTCGCCAAGCATGTGCACAGGCAAACAAACAAACAAAATGCGCTGCACGCCGGAGTGTGCAGCGCAGAGCCAAAACGCGCAAAAGCGAGTACATGGGAAACGACGTAAACGCAATGTCACGAAGAAATAATTGAAAGGGGCGTGGTGAGTGTTCAGTTGGTTGGGCAACGCCCCCTCCCACCTGATGGCCTGATGGCAACGACGACTGAGGACTTTAAAGACTAGCCTGTTGTCAGCGAGGGTCTGTGTGTGTGACTGTGATCTTATGATCCTGGCGTTGATGGTGTGTAAAGTCTTCTTCTTGGTGGTGGCAGGAAGACTTTGCCCTCGTTTGAGAAAGCTGCGGTCGAGAATACGCTAGTTGGACGAAATGAGACATGCAACAAGGTCATCATCGCTCATATCATGGTCAATCAACAGATCACTACATAGATCAAACATTCACTCTTGATCTCAGGATCTCTGACGTGCTCACTCACTCGAGTGGGCAGTCGACGCCGCGACAACCTCAAGCATAAATGCATGGGTATGATGAATGCCACACACCAGCCCAGCAGCTCATCGAGTGCAGGCGACCCAGTGTTCTTGATCTCCTCTCTGTGTGCTGACTTGCACTTTTCCACTCTGAGTACATGGAACAGTGCTGACCTGATGTGCTGAGCGCAAGCTGATGCATAGCCACTCTTGTATTGTCACCACAACAAGAAGTGTTGAAGGAACTTTGATACGCACGCAATCAAAGAGGTGCCATCAAGGGGTCGTCAGGCATGATTTATGGTGTTGGTGCCAGCAATTAACAACACGAAAGAATGCGCGACAGAAGGTACACAGGCACACACCATGAACGCGTCCTTGCCCTCCCACCAACAACACACAAGCAATTCAGTAACGTGGTGGTCCTTGGGGTCTCTCCAGACCTGCTAACCTGCGCCATGCACTTGAACAACGCAACATGTGTGTTGTGGGTCACAAATACCGTGAGGAGTGGGGAGAAAAGCACAAGTATCCACCTGAAAGCACACATAAGGCACAACAGAACACAATATGTACAGCCCATGCAACCCAATACACACACACACCACACACACACACACACACACACACACACACACACACACACACGCGCGCGCGCAACCCAATACACACACACACACACACATACACAACTCACCATCCAGCAAACGCTGTCCTTCTGCTCATGGTGGCCCAATGACATCCGTTCCTCGTCCTCCCTCGTCTCTTGCCCAATCAAACCTTGAGCACGCCGTGCCAGCTCTCGCCCTCCACCACCACCCACATCAGCACTGGATCCATACACAGCTCCTTGCCCACGCCATCTCCTGCAGGAGAGCCTCCTGTGATGCTGCATGGAAGCTCACCAGCATCACTGCTGCTGCTGCTGCTGCTGATGGTGGTGGTGGTGGTGGTGATGGTTCCTCTCTCATGTGGAAACTATTGTCCAATGGATCAAACAACAGATGCGGTGTGATCCCTTTCCACGAAGCGATGCGACACTGGGCACATTGCGGCTCGTTTGATCTCTGTCGAATGAATGGCTGTTTGATTGGGTGGTTCAGGTCGGTGTGAGCAACAGTAGTCGAGAGGTGGAGAGGTGGAGAGGGTCAACGCTTGCAAACTTGACAACACGCACACACACATGCACAGGATCATTCTCATCATGTCAGCCCTTCTCCCGCCTTCTGTGTCGCCACCATCGCCACCTCTACACACTTTCGTGTACATGATCACTGTGACAGCAGAGGTAACAGAACCACTGCCAGCACACCAAACATCATCATCAGCATCATCATCAGATGTCAACACGCACCCATCATCGTCGTGTGCAGTGGCCACAACCAACCAGACCAACCAACCAGCGAAGGAGCACAACACACAAACTTGCCACTTCAAGTTCGGAGGATTGTGCGCATCATTCATAGACTTTCGTCAACCAACCAACGCATGTCAACCAACCACACACACACACACACACACAGCACACACACACACACACACACACACACACACACACACACACTCTCTCTCTCTCTCTCTCTCTCTCTCTCTCTCTCTCTCACACACACACATACACACACACACAACATGGAGTGCTGGAAGCTGGTGGCTGCGCGCGTCATGTCGATGCCAGACGGCGACGATGCGTCGGGCACGCTCGAGGGGTTTGACGTGAGACACAAGGCAGATTACGGCAAGGCACGCGCTGTTCTCAACCTGATGTTCACCTGCCGCGAGCTGTACCATGACTTGCCCTGGGCCGTGCCCAAATGGTACCTTGCGAAAGTGCTGGAACAGGCCATCAGTGCTAAGAAACTCAGGTACAGCTATGTGGAGGACAGAAGCCACTTTGGCGCACAAGGCTCCGTGCCCGCATATTCCAACCTGAAGTTTGAGAACGACCCTTACCCCACCGTGTCAGATTGGCTCGACACCTTTCAAGCCGCGCTCCTCCCACCGCTGCGGGTGCGAAGAACCCCTGATGACACCACCGGTGAGGACACCACCAACGAGGACAGCAGCGAGGACAGTGGCGGCAGTGACAGCATCATGGTGTGGATGGAGAACCGCTTCCTTGCCTACTCCCGGCTCGGCGTGACCTGGGCCAGCGACCTCCCCTTCTTGCAAGCGCGGCTGAAAAGCATTCGACCCTCAACCGACGACTTTTGGCAGCAGTTTGCTCAGCACGGACGCATCACATTCAAATGCATACGCAACATCAAAGCATGGGCTGCTGCAGTGGGCGCAGGACGTGCAGGGCAGCGACAGGGGAGGGGAGGGAGGAAGGCGCAGAGGCGCAGGAGGAGGCAGAGGAAGGAAGGCGCAGAGGCGCAGAAGGAGGCGGAGGAGGAGGAGGAGAGGAAGGAGGAAGAAAAGCAGCAGCAGCAGCAGCAGCAGCAACAACAACAACAACAACAACAACAACAACAACAACAACAACAACAACAACAACAACAACAACAACAACAACAACAACAACAACAACAACAACAACAACAACAACAACAACAACAACAACAACAACAGCAGCAGCACCAGCACCAGCACCAGCAGCACCAGCAGCACCAGCAGCAGCCGCAGCAGCCACACCCCGCCCTGTTTTATGCCACGGTCGAGTTCAACAGCCAAGCAGATGTGGACCGCTTGAACGAGCTGCGTTCCACAGCGTTGGGTGGTGCACGTGCAGAGAAATTGGACATCACAACCACAGCACCGTTGGCCTCCCTAAATATGTGCAACGCAAACACGCTTGTCTTGCAGGACATGTTCCATATGGTGGAAAGCGTCACTTTTCGCGACATTGGACATATCCGATGGCACAGCATATCGTCCGAGCAAACCACCCTCCAAGGCGAAGTGTCCAACGTCGGCGGCATCAATTTTCATCACAGCATCGAACGCAACAGCTTTGCACTGTTCGCCGGCTTGCACAGCATGAGGATCACAAGCCAACACGCGGACCTGACACCGCTTGCTGGCATCAGCACGCTGGTGCTTGACCATGCGACCGTGGACGACCAGTCTGTGCTTGCAGATGTGGAGGAGCTTCATATGCACCAAGCGCCACTGGAGATTGACACGCTCAACGCCAAGCGCATTACGCTGACGGGCGAGATGCCGGCTCGCGTTCATCTTCCCAACGCCACCCACTTCTGGCTGAGGCAAGGCTCCTGGAACATGGATGTGGAGTTTGTGCTTCCACCACACCTCGACACGATCGCGATTGAAAGCAGGGACCCAAAGATTCCACAGTTTGAGCACGCGCGGGTGCTGGACCTCGAATTCGATAGGAGTTCGGCCTGTCTGGCGTGGGAGGTCGACCTGTCTGGCGTGGCACACCGCGTCGACAAGCTGGTGATTCGCAACGCACGCATGCTGCACACCAGTGCCGGCGACCCCTTGGGCGGCCTGCTGCATGTGCCAGACAACGTGCACGTATGCTTGGACGACGTCCGCACCCCTCTGACCGGGAACGTGCTGCCGCTGTGCGTGAAGGAGTTGTGTGCGTATGGTCGCACAGTTCTTCACGGCGCTAGGCCCTCTGTTCGTTTCGAACACGCTTCCGGCACGTGCTTGGCCAACGTCCCGCTGCTGTACCTCAGTTGCCACCGCTTGCGCGACGTGGATGTCCTGCGTGGGCGGAGGCAGCTTCACTTGTCAGAGGTGACGCTTCATGGCAAGATTAGGGACTGCAACCACGTGTCGCTCCTGGCTTGTAAGGGTGCTGCTGACGTGAGTGAAATCAAATGGTTGCGGCTGATGACGGCCTTCATCATGGCAAGCGATTATGACCTTGACGACCCAAGCGATCCCCGTCGCAAGAAATCGGCACTTTCACTACATGTTCAGCGCATTCAACGCGTGTTCATGTGCGAACTTCTCGACTGCAGAGTCATAGACTTCTCGTGCTTCCGCAACGTCCACTGCCTCGTCCTGAAACGTTGTGTGTTCGATGATCTGAGTGCGCTGACGTCGGTTGGCTGCCTGATGGTGCACGACTGCATCAGTTTTGACGAGCGGTGGTCGTGGCCGGAGGTGGTGCTGGTGAACCGAACACCAGAGGATATGATGGCCGTGCTCAGGAGGGGGAGGAAGAACAGGTTGTGAGGGCGTGAGGGTGCGACGGTGTGTGTGTGTGTGTGTGTGTGTGTGTGTGTGTGTGTGTGTGTGTGTGTGTGTGTGTGTGTGTTTGGTTCGCTTGACTTTGATCATCTCTTCAACGTCTCTCCCCCGTTTCGCTTTCCGCTTCTGCCCCATCTCTCCACCAACGTCCTCTCCTCGTGCCACCAAGCTTTCTCTCCATTGTCCATGGTTCAAAGGCTCACTGCTGCTCGTTTGTCTCATGCTCAGTGCATACGCTGGCCACTGTATCGACGCCAACATTCTTGACTCGTGGGACACGTGTGTCTGTGTCTGTTGGAGACAGGGTTCACAAGTGTTTCCTTTCAACCACGACACCACAGTAAACGTGACACGACATGCACGTGTCATAGAAAGGGGGGACAAGATGATGTTCTTTGGTGAGGTACTGGAACGAAGCGAAGAAACGCGCTAGGTCAAGGTCGTGCCAGGCAGCGAGTATATAACAGCAAAGAGACGAGGGGTGTCAGCAGGTGGTGTCGGAAAGTGAGTGCGCCATCAGTCTCGCCCCGCAGAGGCTGGGGACATGTGTGCATGCAGTGCTGAGCAGAGGAAGCGCAGGATCAGGTTTCGACGCGCCGCAGAGGATCGGTGGACGGCTTGAGCGGAGATGAAGCGAAGCAGGAGGTTGCGTTGTGTGGGGAGTTGTCGCTGTTGAGCAGAGGGAGTTGCGGTGGACTTTTGCTGTTGTGTCGATGGCCCAGTAGGTTGTTGCAGAAGCAGCGCAATCAAGGATTGCTGTCCCATCTTGGTGTGTGGGTGGTCCGGGCCAAGTGTGTCCAGCCAGATGCTAACTGCTTGTTGCACCACAGTCAATGCCTTCCCGTACTCCCCCTTGCTGTGGTACACGTGGCCCAGGTTGTGGTATGTGGTTGCTGTGGAGGGATGCTTCTCCCCCAACGTATCCAGCTTGATCTGCAGGCACTTTTGGAAGTAGTGGATGGCGCGGTCACACTCGCCCTTGCGGGTGTACCCGCTGGCCAGGTTGTTGTATGTGGTTGCTGTGGATGGATGCTCTTCCCCCAACGTGTCCAGTTCTATCTGCAGGCACTTGTGGTAGTAGTAGATGGCGCGGTCGTACTGGCCCTGGCTGTTGTACACACCACCCAGGTTGTTGTATGTGCTAGCTGTTTCCGAGTGCTGTCCCCCCAACGTGTCCAGCTGTATCTGCAGGCACTTCTGGTAGGAGTGGATGGCGCGGTCATACTCGCCCTTGCTGTCGTACACCTGGCCCAGGTTGTTGTATGTGGTTGCGGTGTCGGGGTGCTTCTCCCCCAACGTGTCCAGCTTGATCTGCAGGCACTTCTGGTAGTAGTGAATGGCACGGTCATACTGGCACTTGCTGAAGTACACAAGGCCCAGGTTGTTGTAGGTGGTTGCGGTGTCGGGGTGCTTCTCTCCGAAGATGAGCAGTTCTACACCCAACGCTTGCTGAAGAATGTCTCCGCGCTATCGTGCTCTCCGAAGTCATGCATGACTAATCCCACTCGGTTACACATTGGTGCAACTCTTGGGAGATGTCTCCTGTCTTCATCTTCCTTCCACGAATGACTTC